CTGGAGCTAAGCTAAGGTTTTGGTTTACCATGACAGTGGTACCTTGGTTCTCAAACTTAATCCGTTCAGGAAATCCATTCCAAAACCAAAGCGTTCCAAAACCAAGGCATGCTTTCCCATAGAAAGTAATTAAAAATGGATTAATCCGTTCCAGGCTTTTAAAAACAACCCCTAAAACAGCAATTTAACATGAATTTTACTGTCTAACGAGACTACTGAGCCATAAAATGAAAGCAATAAACAATGTACTGCAGTGACATAATCAATCAATCAGTAGCTGAACTGGGTTCCACACAGTCACAAAAACAAAGCAAAAAGAGCCGCAAAAACAAAAACGCAAAATAAATAGGAAAAACAGACTGACCTCAGCGTAACACTCGGAACGGAAGTGTGGCACTCAAATCAGAAGCATAACACTCAAATCATCAGCGTAACACTCAAAACAGAAGTGTGGCACTCAAAGTGGAAGCGTAACACTAAAATTAAGCATGTTCAGCTTCCAAAATATGTTTGCAAACCAGAACACTTACTTCCAGGTTTGCAGTGTTTGGGTTCCAAGTTGTTTGAGCACCAAGGTGTTTGAGAACCAAGGTACCACTGTATGTGCAAACCTGGGCTCATGGTTTGTCTCGCTCCAAACAATCCATGAGCTGTAGCTAAGGTTTGTTCTTGCTCGTTCATGCTTGCTCATTTATGTGCAGGCATGGTTTGGCTGAGTGTTATATGCTAATAAGACTACATATTCATACATAAGGTAAACTGTAGTCAATGGCTAACTGTGAACACACTCTCCTTTTGAGCTACGCATAGCTCAGGCAGGAGCAATCAATCACTGGCTTAGCTTTGTTTCTGAACTGGGGATTGTGAATTCTTTCATTCCAAACAAGCCCCAATGTGGCGTATAGGATTGCTCTTGGCTTATCTATCATGGTTTGTCTGAGCAAAACAAACCACTATTCCCAATTCGGATGTAACTCAAAGCCAGTAATCTTGGATCGTTGTCCTTGCTTGCAGTAGGGAAGGAGTGAACCAGGAGCCACCTTTGTGTTTAGGGTAAACCATTAACTACAGTTTACTGTGGCATGTGAAATGGGCCATTACCATCAAAGGAGGGAGGCCCCTGTGAGACACACTTGAAGTAACTGGAGTAAAACTACACTACTATCTAAAGAGCCTTCGCTAAGACCATTAAGTCCACAGTATAAAATTAACTAAGTGTACCTCTCTGAGTAGAAATATCAGGTATTTGAACCTGGGGCTTCCCTATATACAAGGCCCATTTTCCTCCATAGCAAATGGTGCCCCCTTCCTCAATTCAAGGTGTATACTATTAACACCCCAGGCTATGCTATTTTGGCACCTGAGAAAATTCCACAAATACCTCTCCTGGGAAATAAATATACAATAATAATAAATTTAGTGACTGCTCTTTCGTGAACCTCAAAATCAGCTGCCTGAGGCAGCCTCCTCCCTCTGTGTTAATAATAGGGTTGGTATCAGATGGGAGATACACTTTTAAATGCTTCCCACATTTAATAAGAATAATAAAATCCATGCAGGCTTTTTTAAAAAAAGAGCATATTAGGGACAATTGTTGTAGTGTCCATCCGTTTGCCTGGTGTTGTAGTTTTCTGTTTCCGGTTAATTTTGTACCCCAGGAGTTCATTAACAAATGTGATTACCACACACACAAACTGTCTGTTTGTCTGTCTCTCCCCCCCCCCCATGTCATTTACAGTTCTTTTCAGACACAGTGATGGGAACCTGTTGATGTAAACCATGGCGGATCCTAGAAAGAGGAACTCAGCTCAGAACAAAAACCATATTGAATATCACATGCCAATATTGCATTAATTTCTGCGGACGCCTGAATTCACCTCAGCCCACACTTCTTTGTTTATTTACACATCAGCCTGGGCTTTGGAAGTGATGTTTACACAAAAGGATATGAAAACAATAAAATGAGCAATAAAAACCCTCCATAAGACCAAAAGTTATAAAAACATCTTGTAGAATTTCCTTGCAAAAAACAACCACCATCAATGAATATATATTTAACCAAGACAAACATAAATGTCTAGAAGGTTTTTGCCTTCACATTAAAACTCAGAATAGTCATTTATGAAACTACCTGGAAATAAGTGCTCCAGGACTTAAAGCCACATTTGTGAGCTGGGGAATCAGGGAGAAAAAAAGCAATGTGGTACTGTCTGAAGTGTTACTGCAATCACACCATGTGTATGTGTGCTAACACACGCTTGTGTGTGTGCTTCTGAAACAAATGCACAAAATATAAGATCAGATATTATTATAATGGGAAGTGCCCAGAATCCCCAGAGAAAGTTGCTGTTATCACCAATCCCTCTAATAGTGAACCCAGATGGTTCAGTGTCTATCCATTTGAAAACAGCCACCCAAATTAGGGTTACCAGTACTTCTACACACCTAGGTGGTCCTGTAAGTGCCTCTGTTATAAGAATTTTAAGGTCTTAGATATGTAATACAGTAAAAGTTCATAAATGTACCAAGCAAACATGTACATAAATATATAAACCACATGTCTGAAACCCCACAGAAAAAAAAGTCCTGAACAAATTGACCTCAAATATTTCTCTGCAAGGTCAAAGTGGGAAACCTCCCCATTGTCTCTTTCCTCACAAATCCTGTCTTAAGGGCACATTTAAGATATGAATAGGGTGTGAGCCTGTGACCTGGCTAAGGAACTAAGTTTTTATCATTACAAAAGACTGGCCAGGTTCCTCAGGGTATCCAATATAGTAAGCATTAACAGGTAACCTGCCAGACAGGAGATAAACAACACACTCAGATTTCTTTTGATTGAGGTATGATGTGTTTGGGAGGTGGTCTTGAGCTACGCCCCTTCTGTGATATATGTATGATGTTTCTGGGGGTGGTCTTGAACTCTAGGGCGGGCAATTTAAAATGTCTATATAAGGGCGGACACACCTGTGTTCTGGGTCCTCAACTTCTCCTGCGTGTGAAGGGGGCACCCTGTTGCAACAGATCAATAAAGATCAGGCTTACTAGCTGCTTTGCTTCTCAATATTCTCTGGTTGCCCTCTGTTAGTTTTCTCTGACTGATGGAGAACTTGCAAAGGACTCTACAAGTGCTCTTGTGTACCCCATAAGGGAATAAGGGCAGATTTCCGTTTATTACACCTCCAAGTGTAGAGCTTTGTGAAGAAGAAGAAGAAGAAGAAGAAGAAGAAGAAGAAGAAGAAGAAGAAGAAGCCGCCTGACAAGGAACTGTGAACGTCCAGGTATGAGAGCAAAGCCTCTGTTCCAAACTGACAAGGAATCCTGACCAAGATCAAGTTGCAAGTCCAACTTTTTAGAAATTAATAACCTGCTGGCTGGGGCTGATAGGAGTGGGAACCCGAAACATCGGTTGCTGAAGGCTGCCTTAAGGTTCAGGGAGAGAGTTCCACAGGGGGCAGCAAAGGAGGATCATGAAAATGTAGCTACAGTAGCCATGAGCAGATTACCTAGGACGGGGAAATCCCTTGATCTCAAACTAAGTGTGCATGCTTCCCTAGGTTCAGTGACCTAACAAGCTGCATGCAAGGCAGAAGATCAACTGGTTGAAAGTTTTCCTCGCACTGCATAGGCAGGGACTGGGGAAAGCTCTACCGGTTGATTTTCTGTCTCGCAGGCAGTTGCTGTTAAAGGCGCAGGAGCTCTTCCCAGTTTAAAAAGTGGTGACTTTCTCTCCCATCCCCCTCCTAACTTTCCCCACCTTGTTCTGCCCTTTCTCCTCACTCCCCTCCCCCTCCCAAACAACCTCAGGAGATCTGAAAGGGCCGGATCTCTCAGCTTTGTCCATTTCAATGACTCATTGTCATGCCCCGGCAGGTGGATAGTTTGCACTCTCCAGGGGGCTCATACAGCCCCCCTCCTTCCTTGTTCTTCAAACAGCCAAATCCCAGCCCACTCCTCCCAGGAAACTGGTAGAATGTTTCTGATCTAATAAACTGCCAAATTTATCTTCCTCCCCCGCAGAGGTGGTGAATAATGTTCTGGTCCCAGAAACCTTTAACCCCTAATCTCATCAAAAAGAGGCTGACTGTTGTTACTCCCGTGGTGGAAGAAGACTCAGAAGACTCTTCTTATGTTATCTCTGTGTATGTGTGTGTATTTTATACTGCCTGTACCCACATCCTTCCCACTACCCTTTACACTATAAAAAGGTAAAGGGACCCCTGACCATTAGGTCCAGTCGTGACCGACTCTGGGGTTGCGCTGCTCATCTCACTTTATTGGCCAAGGGAGCCGGCGTACAGCTTCCGGGTCATGTGGCCAGCATGACTAAGCCGCCTCTGGCGAACCAGAGCAGTGCACGGAAACGCCGTTTATCTTCCCGCCGGAGGAGTACCTATTTATCTGCTTGCACTTTGACGTGCTTTTGAACTGCTAGATTGGCAGGAGCAGGGACCGAGCAATGGGAGCTCACCCCGTTGCGGGGATTCAAACCGCCAACCTTCCAATCAGCAAGTCCTAGGCTCTGTGGTTTAACCCACAGCACCACCCGTGTCCCAGTCCTTTACATTATACATGCATCTTAAATGAAGACTGCGCTTCATGCATCTGATGAAGTGGGCTGTGGTCCACGAAAGATTCTGCTACAACAAATGTGTTGCTCTTTAAGCACTTTATTGCTTATGCCAAAAAAGTGTCTGGAACAAGGCAACCAATCCTGCCACGAGTTCCCGAGTACCCAGGAAAGCTACTTCCCTCTCCATTTTTCTACACATCTTCCTTGCTGTCCTAAATCGAAACTCAAGTCGTGTGTGGAACTTTTGTGGTCTCTGCATAAATCCTTCCTTGACATCTGTACTCCTGCGAGTAGAGAATGTGGGATTTAAGGCTGCAGTTCCTAAAGGCATTTACTAGAAAGCAAGTCTCTTTAGACACAGCGGGACTTACTGCTGAGTATACGTGCTTAGGGTTGCAATCCAATTCGCAGAATTTGCTGTCTCAAAATGCGGCTACTGTAATGATCTTCTGTAATGGTTTGAAAGAGGGATTGAGTTCAGCAAAGGTACAAGCCGTTAGCCACAATAGCTAAACAGAACCTCCAGGCTCAGAGGCAGTCTACCTCTGAATGCCAGTTGCCAAGGGAGGGAGTGACAACGAGGAGAGCTGTTGCCTTCAAGCCTGTTTGTGAGTCTTCTGGAAGCAATTGTTTGGTCACTGTAGGAAATGGGATGCTGGACTAGATGGGACCTTTGTTCTGATTCAAGCAGGGCTCTTCTCAACTTCTTCTACTGCTCTGAGGTTTTATTACAAACAAGTGATATATAAATAGTGTGAATAAAATAATTAAAATTGTAGAAGTAGACAATCTGCAGCGGGGGGGTTAAGATCTGCTTTAAGTGCCTGGAATGTAATGAAAAAAGTTGTGGCTGCCTCTGAGCATGTGAAGAGGGCAAGGGCCACTAAGAGCTGCTCAGCTTTGGACCCAGTGTTCACAGTCAACAGCAATGACATTTATATAGTACTTTTCCTTACCAAAGGAGCAGAAAAGACTTTTTCTGTATGGAACAACAGCCGCCCAGATGTTATTAGCCCAGAGCTGGAAAGAAGATAAAAGTCCCTACCAGAGAAGAATGGCAAACCAAGCTGATGGCCTGTGCTAAGATGCCAAAACTGACTGGAAAACTCAGAAACCAAGAGCGTAAAAACTTTATAAAAGAATGGGGGAAATTCATAAGTTACCTTGGAGTCCACTTGCAGTGTATAAATTACTATGGACAATATGGTTTGGTATAAAAAATTGGAGTATGGATGAATATGCAGTTGTAGAGGTTTAAAATGAGACCCCATGGAGGGGATGGGGGAAGTCCCGAGATTCAGATAATCTCTTTACAGATAGAAAGATACTCTCTTTACAGATACAAAGATACAAATAAACACTAGTAGTATATAAATAGTGTGTCATTTTTATTGGTTTTACAGATACAAAGATACAATTGTATCTTTGTATCTGTAAAACCAATAAAAATGATTTCACACACACCCACAGAACTTTTCCTAAGTGATGGGATGCAACCTTATCAAATGTTTGCCCCACACAACAGCCCGGTAAGGTAGACCGGTACTATATTTCTGATTGGTAGAGTTGTAGTTTTTGCCCATTGAGTATTCTTGGTTGAATCAGGGCCTTCCAGGCTCACAGCTCATGTTCTTAACCATCGCCTGATGACACTCTTGTCCAAGGGAGAGTAAGAGTGTCTCTAAAGTCCACACAGGAAATGTTTACCAGGGCCCAGTTCTCAACCATTTGGTATAAAGGCAAGAATCCTTAGCATACACTCCTTTCTCATTACACAGCAAGAAGTTCGGGCTTTTGGGAAAGTAGGTGTGGTTTGAAGGAAGACTTTATTTAAACAGCTGTTAAAAAAAACAAACACATGAGACATCCTTAAGAACTGATCTTGGGCAGGGCCACTTTAAAAAAAGAATTATGACAAGCAGCCTTTGGAATGAACTTGTTCCTTACTCATCGCATTAGCAATCCACTGCATTTGCAAATGGACACGCAAGACAATGACCACATTCCCACCACAGATTCAGAGAACTGTGGTGCTACTTTTAACAGTCATGGCCACCCCACCCCCCAAGAACCTTCTGGGCAGTGTAGTTTGTTAAGAGCGCTCAGACTTGTGAAGAGACTCCTGTTCCCCTCTCAGAGCTACAATTCCCAGAATTCCTTATGAAGAGCGAATGACTGTTCAACCACTCTGTAGCTCTGGGAGGAGAACAGGGGTCTCCCATCAACTCCTAACACCCTTAAACTACAGACTGAGAGGCTCCAATCCAAAATCCCAATCTGTGGCGCTGGTGAAGGGGGAAGAGATTGGATGCAGTAGGGCAGGGTTCAGCAAACTTTTTCAGCTGTCCCTCAGACCTTGTGGGGGGACGGACTATATTGGGGGGGAAGAATGAATGAATTCCTATGCCCCAGAAATAACCAAGAGATGCATTTTAAATAAAAGGACACATTCTACTAATGTAAAAACATGCTGATTCCCGGACCATCCACGGCCCGGATTTAGAAGGTGATTGGGCCAGATCCAGCCCCCAGGCCTTAGTTTGCCTACCCCTTGCAGTAGAGGCCTCAGTCTGCTCAGACGCAAAACAGCCCGCACTGGCCTCTTGCCCCGCAAAGTGGTGCCAGCATGACTCCTCGGACATGGCACTCCCCCTAGAATTGTCATGTAGCCCACCCCCTGCAATGCAGGAAGTGTAGGTGGGCAGAATTACCACCACCAAGACATCCGTTGGTGGTAGCCCTCAGAAACCCAGCTTGGCAAATTCAGCAGTCTATAAAGGAACCAATAATAATAGGGAGGGCTTGAGCCAGCCCCGCTGCTGACCTTTGATGGCATGGGGCCTGGTCGCTACACCTACTCCATTCTGGCGTATCTCTGAGTAGGAGTTTGCCTGCCCCCACAACTGGCAGGAGCAATAGGGACACATCCCATGTCTGCCAGGCTGGGGTTGGGGCTGCTTTTTTAAGAGAGTCTACATACAGACGGGAACACACATATAGGCATCAAACAAATGATCTAAAATTAACAAATGTATTCAGATCAAATCATTAGAGGTAGCTCAGTTAGTGGATCGTGAGGCCAAATCTTAGGGTTGTGGGTTCAAAACCCACCTTGCGCAAGCAATTCCTGCATTGCAGGGGCTTGGACTGGATGACCCTTCCGATTCTGAGGAGAAAATCGTCAAAACACAAATAATCCATAATACTCCTCGAAACTCCCCCCATCCCACCCTTTCCCTGGTTTTGGCTGTGGCAAAGGCAGGAATGAGGTCTTGCCTCAGGACACGGTTTTCTATGTACCTGGATTCCTCCTCAAAAGAAACAAAATCCGGGAGGAAGAGAAGGCTAGTAGGGAGTGACTGGCCCAAGGTGAACGGGCGAGCTCCATGGCTGACCCAGGAAACCGAAAAGCCTAAAAATCTGAAGCGCCTAAGGTTAAACTCTATATGGCCCCTTTATTGGCCTCGTGGTTAATCCACGGAGCTGCACTGTATCCGTGCCACCGAGGGGAATTATTTTCCTTCCTCCCAAATTCTTGCAGCCCGATCCGGGTCACGCTTGCTCGCAAGGAAGGCGGAAGGCCCCCACCGAGTTCCGCGGATATTACTGGCCTAATAATAATAATAATAATAATAATAATAATAATAATGCTGGCCGAAGTAAAAGTCCGGCCGGGCCGGGTTAAGGAGCGGTTCGAGGGCGAGCACCTGGGAACCTTTCGACCAGATCCTCTTCGCCAGCGCGCCCCTTCCTCCGCCCAGGTGCGCTCGCTCGCTTGCGCCAGTTTCGCCCTGGGTGGGGCAAGCCCGTCTCGGTCGCTCTTTCTCCTTGCCCCCCCTTCCTCTTTTGGGGGCTTTTCCTCCCGACGGTTTTCTATCCCAGGCCGCCAGTTTCACCTGCCACTGACGTCATCAGGGATGAGAGGGGTGTGGTCTGGGGGGAGGGCTGAGGAGGAGGATGAGAGGGGTATATAGCCGGCCCCTCCAGGAAAGTTGCCTCCAACTTGCCTCCTGAGGATTTGAAACCTTTTCGCTCCTTGGGTCCCGTCAACAGGTAAGGGAAGAGACTTTAGCTGGATGGCTGGGGGGCTAGTGAGATTGGTGATTTGCAGGGTGGAAATGGGTTAACTAGTTTTACTTTATTTTAAAGACTTGGTATTGTGTGCGAGGCAAAGTTTTAAAAAAATCTGTTGCGTTATGTGGGTCCCGCGGGATGCCTTGAGGAGTGATGTCAGGACGCCTGGGTCCCTTCCCCAAGGATCGATGCGGTATTTAGACAGTATTAAATAAGTCCTTTATTTATTAAATTTATTATGTTCCGCGCTCCTTCCCAAAGGACGCTCGATATCCTGCGGTATTTGGTAAAGCTTGGAACAGATTTAGATTTGCTTTCTTTGGAATGGGGTAAGATTAATGCGAGTGGTGAAACTCGCGCTTGATCAATGAAGACCCGCGGATTCTTAAGCATATGCGGAAAGCGCTTTCGTTTACGGGCGTCTTCAATAAACGCCCGAGCGCTAATTTAGGGACTTGTCGTGAGATGCGTTCTCTCGCTCCTTTTGGTCTCCGGAGCGATAAGTCTGCCTTTAAAAGCCCTTGGAAGATTAAAAAGTTGCCCGCTAAATAAAGGGTTAGAGAGGCAATGTGAGCCCAGAGCCCTACGCGAGAGTAGACCCATTGAAACGAGCGGGCATGGATAGCTTGTGTTCGTGGAGTTCCGTGGGCGCAGTGCTCCCAGGGGCACTTAGGTGGAGAGCAAACTTGAGCGGCAAACAGAAATGGCTTTCTTAACTTTGCTGGGAACTTGATGGTGGGAAAGGACTGGAGTTGTGGGTCCGCGCTCCCCCCTCCCCCCCTTGCGCATATCAAGGGCATCCTCCCCCCTCGCCTCCATTGTCCCAGCAAGGGAATAGGTGGCGCCCTGATGTTTCGGTGGCGAGCTGGACTCCCACTGAAACAAACCCCCTTGAGAAGAAAGAGGAGGGGGGACAGTTTCGGTTGAAGGGCATGGACAAAGCGAGGAGTACGGCCCCGCCTTCTTCTCCCCCCCCTACGCTCACGCCCCGGCCCCGCCCGAGGCATACGTGTGGCGGAGGTGGGGAACCTTGTTCCCTGGAGCGCAGGCACCCAGTGACCTCGTGTCTCTTTGTCCCAGAGGCTGGAAAACCTTCCATAAGGGCTGACGATTCTCCCGCCATACCTGCGCCCGTATACCCCACCCACCTAGCAGGCAGAAGAGGTCGATTTCTCCAGCTCCTAAGACTTGCCTTCTCTCGAGAGTTTTGGGGCTGCAGAATAAGTAGGGCTAGAGTCGGAGCTTTGCCTTGTCTTCTGGAAATGGGGGGGGGGGGAGGACCCTAGCCCACCTGTAACCATGGGGTGGTGGTTAGAAAGGAGCCTTGCGACAGGTGGATTTCACACGTCTGTAACATACTGGTTTTTCAAAGTTCTTGTTAGTGTATTGGTTGATCCATAGGGGGAGGGCAGAATCCAAAGGTAATACATTTTTTGGTTGATTCTAATAAATGCATTGTCTAACAATTCACAAAACGTGGCATGCTTTTGAGTTCTCCATAACTCTTCATCAAGCACCCCCACCCTCTTGCCTAAATAACTCAAAAGCTTGCCACATTTTTGTGACATTTGGTTGGTCCTAATACAGGTATTCCCAAACGCTGGGATAATGAGAACTAGACATGACTTAAGACCTGTGTCTAAAGTGTTTAATTCCAAATCAGACTAGACTTGTGTTACTTAGTTTTGGGAGTAGAAAAGGGAGAAGTAGGGTTGATTTTAGAGCCACCTGAACAGCAAGATGGCACTGTGTTTTGGTTGCGTTTATTACACCTGTGAAGGAAGGTAAAGTTGGTCCTTTAAACTAGCTGAAAACTATACCGTAAAACATGGTTGGAATTGGCCCTGGATTAACATGGTTTAAAAGGGTGTGATCTTCATGTGATGTAAACCTCCCCTGAGGCTTTAAATAGAAACACACATTGAATGAGACAGTGGGTGGTTGGGGAAAAAAATTGCAACTTGTTACTCATTTTTTTTTTTTTTTAAAAGTGGCCTTTACCAGGACTTAATTACAAAATCAGGGCCTAGAGCCTATTGCACAGGTAGTATTCTGCCTCTTCTCATATCAGAAGGCTTAATGTTTTAGATCAGGCTTCTTCAACCTCAGCCCTCCTACAACTCCCATGATCCCTAGCTAGCAGGACCAGTGGTCAGGGATGATGGGAATTGTAGTCTCCAAACATCTGGAGGGCTGAGGTTGAGGAAGCTGTTAGACACTATTTACAACAAAGGATCCATTTAGAACTCCTTCCTGTATGTTTCTTTCCTTGTCTCTTTGTCTTCTCTTCCTCTTTGAGAAAGAAAATGGCGGTGCTGGTGTGATCAGTTTAGCTCAGGACACAACCCTGTGTAGGTTCTTCCTAAATCCTTCCTTGGACTAGCCTTCCCCCAACCTGGATGCCCTTCAATGGTTTTGGGCTCCAAGCCAATCAGCCTCAGACAGCATGGTTGGTGGACTTGGAAAACCAGGCTTGGACTTGGGAGGAGAGACTTGTTGCTACTTGCCTATGTTTCTCTATCATTAACCTGACACATCCAGCATCTTCTTTGCTGTAATCAGCATTAAGGGCTTTGGGGGGCCAAGTACGCAGCTTCCAGGTGAAATCTGTTCTGTGCTTTACTTAGTCTCATAACCCCAGCCCCATTTTTATTTATGCTGGCTAAAAAAATACTGGGCTCCATGGTAATAAGCTAACAATCAATTGCTGTATGCAGCTGAAATGGAACATAGCGCAAACCCAGGGTTGTTGTTTTTTTTAAGTTTAACATCCCAGTGTTTAAAGATCCTTTGCACGCTTGCCTAGGCTTAGCAGATCAAAAGTGTACACCTCAAAAGGCAGGCTATAAGCCATGCAGGAATTCTGTGATCAGATTGCCTGTTTTGTTAATGGAGCAGTTGCAGTTGGCGGGAGGTCTTTCTTTAACCTTTTCTCATGCAAAATTTTGCCAGCCTAAAATCCCATTCTGCATTTCTTTCACTGCCCCCCTTGAGCTGCTATTAATCTTGTTGCATTGCGAGATATACAAACTGCCATTACACTTGCCTTAGCGCTGAGCATTCCCCTGGATCATCTATCAAGTTTGCAACATCAAGTTTTTTCCTGAGCATGGCTCCCCAACTGAAGCTCCAAATTGACCTGTTCAGTCACTTAGCTCTGCCTTTTAAGTAATAGTGATACTGAGCACCTGCTTGAGCACTTGCTGAGAAAAGGTAATTCATAAATAGTTTTAAAGATTCACTTCTGTACAGAGTAAACCTACTCCAACCAAGATTGTGTAGGGCTTAACTTTTACTGCTGTCACTGAATTTGGAGCCTCCCCTTTGACATGCCAATATAAAGCAAAATGTTGGGCGAGTTCTGATAAAGGACCCCTTGCGTAATGTATAGTTTGTGTCCAGGCATGTGCCGGTTGTTTTAATGGGGCTGGGAAGGAGGTGATGTCCCATCCAAACCACTTTCCTCCCAGAGAGAGCCCAGTGGATGTTTGTAGTGCTTTCTTGCTGTACATGTCCTTGTCGCCTGACTTGCCTGGAGCCTTGGGGCAGAGGTGGGCTGAAACCTAAATACCCAGCTTTGACTAAAACAATGAGGACATTCCTCCTCCCCCGCCCCATACAGACACTGCAAACAAGTGAGCCACAGCGCTGAGGAGAATGGCATGTATCTGTTGCCTAATAGTTGTGAAATAGGTCGCCAAATTATACTGTTCTTTCCCTTCAGTTAATGTTGCGGAGTGCCAGTGGCAACAAACTACCTTGTTGAGTCCTGAGGGCAGAAGATGATGCAATTCTTGAGGTCGCTCCTAGGGCAGGTGTCCCTCTCTACCTGCTCAAAGCGGATCTTGAGAGAACAACCAGTTGTGCAACCGCTGCTATTCTAGGTGCCTGATGAGTTGGAGGGAGGGAGTGTTGTTTTTCTTCTGCCCTGCTCAGTATGAGGAGGAGAAAAAGAGAACTATCTATATCATCTGGCTTTGTTTAGAGTCTGAAGGCTAATCCTGAATGGTTTTGCCTGACCAGATGAGTCAGGAGCTAGGCCTTGTTTCTGAGTCAAATAGGAGTATCACCTACCTAGGCTATCTCCGGCCTCTATGAGTCAGGTGGGAGCATTGCTTAAAACACAGGTGTTCTCTTCTGAGAAGACAGGATCCTGAGGTCAGCTGCCACACCTCTACCACAGCATAAGCCACCTGATGAACCCCTCCCTGCCAACTCCTTTAGCAGGTTGCCCTGATTTTCAAAGTCGTGAATTGTGGGGACTTCAGCTGCTACAATCAGAGGCAGATTTAGGGGAGCATGACCTGGGTGGAATATACGCACATATAAAAACTGTTTTGAAAATGCTTTTTTTAAAAAATAAAAAAAGTTTTTTAAAAATACTGAATTTTCCATCGCCATCTAGTGTCACATTGTATATTGTACTTAAAACGTACTTAAAATTGTTTTATTTGCAGCTGTATAGCTGAGTCCCAGTTCACCTATGCTGGGCGCCACAGGGGGCGCTGTGACAAAGGTGGAAGACGGGGCACACCAAATTTTGGCATCGCACAGGGCACCCCTGAAAATTTGTACGCCCAAAGTCCCCCTACAACTACCTACAATCCCACTACTTTGGGGAAAAGGGGCAAAGTGCATCTGTAGAATTTTAAGTGGGGTTTATGAACAGCCAACAGTTCTTGCTTGCAAAAATTTAGGTCAGCTAATATTGCTAATAAAGCAGAGGAAATACAGTGGTACCTCGGGTTACATACGCTTCAAGTTACAGACGCTTCAGGTTACAGACTCCGCTAACCCAGAAATAGTACCTCAGGTTAAGAACTTTGCTTCAGGATGAGAACAGAAATTGTGCTCTGGCGGCGTGGCAGCAGCAGGAGGCCCCATTAGCTAAAGTGGTGCTTCAGGTTAAGAACAGTTTCAGGTTAAGAACGGACCTCCGGAACGAATTACTTAACCCGAGGTACCACTGTATCTGTAGACCTTACTTGTATATATCCTCCCTTTCCAAGAATATCACAGTGACTTACTTGCCTCCCTCCCACCCTCCTTTTTTATCTTAACTATAACCCTGTGAGGTAGGTTAGGCAGAGAGACAGTGATTGACCCAGCGACCTCAGTGGCAAGGTGGGGATTTGAACTTGGGCCTATCTTGGGGCCCAACCTGACCATTATGCAGTGCCAGCTTGGTTAATTTCTGTTTTTTAGGCAGGGTGTGGCTTGAAAACTACAGGATTGCAGCTCTATGTTCTTATGGGGATGGTGGGGGCTGGCTATTTTTACAAATACAGCAATGGAATTGAAGAACTCTGTATGGCACACATGAGTCACTCCACTTGCATCTTCGCAAGAGTCTTGGGAGATAAGCAAGTCACTCGCGCACACGCACACTCAGCTTAACCAAAAGTGTTCAATGAGCTTCGTGTCTGGACAGATTTGAATTCAGAGCTGCTTCCCTTCTCACCCACCCCACCAAAGTCCACATTCTGTTGGGCGTTTCATGTTGCTGCCAGAGGCACCCACTGTTGAAGCCAATCCTGGGTGGTGCCAGAGGTAAAAGTGTTCTGGATTAATCTGAAATAAAAACATCAGCTTATTTTTCAGTAAACAAAATGTTGCCCTTTCCAGTCATTCTGAAACTACATAGAAAATGGAGAGAGAGTGAGAGAGAGCTGTTCTAGAATCCAGAATAAAGCAACAGGAAAGGGCACTTATCATCTTTAGTGCAAGACGTATTAGTTGTCAGCTAACTCCTGAACTGGCCAGCTCTGGTTTGGTCTGGATCTCTAAGCCAGGACTGCAAACCAACTTTAAATTTTGGCTTTCAGTCCTGGCTGAGAGGAAGCAAAAACCAGCATCTGCCAGTTCAGGTGCAGTTGCAAACTACAGGCCTTGTGTTTCGTTTCGTTTTGTTTTAAAAAAGAAGAGGCAATCCTCTGAACTGGAGCACATGGCTTGCTTATTTTAAATGCCGAACCATGGTTTTTCATGGTATGTGAATTGACCTCAAATGCTGTCGAAGCCCAGTATTGTCCACTCCTGGCTGCCATTAGCTTTTAGAATCTTGGGCACCCCAACCTTTACTCCATGTGAGGCAACTGCCTCAAGTAACAGATGTTTGGGGGTACTGTTCCTTCTAAGGCTGCCTGGCCATTCCCTTCTGCAGGAGGACAGAACATGGGTGTGTCCTTGTCCCCTAAATGACCTTGCTGCCTTGGGTGGAGGACATTATCCCATCACCAGCCTTTAATTAAGGTTCAACTGCCAGCTCAGTTGGCACCTGTATGGGGATTGGGGGAAAGTGTGTAATCTTCTCTGCCTTAGGCAGTGAAATGCCTTGGGCTGGCCCTCTTTAGTAGAGCCTTTCCCATCACCTCCCCTTTTACCTGGAGGTGCCAGGTATTGAACCAGGAATTTTCCACAAGGGCTCAGAGGCACCAAGCTCTACATGACTTCTGAATGCCAGTTGCTGGCAACTGCAGGGCAGGGGAGAGTTGTCTTGCACTCATGTCCTGCTTTTGGGCTTCTCATGGGCATCTGGTCGGCCATTGTAAGAACAGTATGCTGGACTAGATGGGCCCACTGGCCTGATCCTGCAATAATCTTCTTAGTCTCTCTCCAGAGTGCATATGGTAGGAGTTGGGTTGTCCTGTACCAAGGCTAAAGAATCCTGTAACTTTTTTCAAAGCTGACACAGAAAATGCTACCAGGTGTGTGTGACTTTCTGGTGCTTGGTGAGCTGCTTCTGCCTGTGCAAACTAGTGATAACACACTGAGTTTAGAGCGCTTCTCTTGTTTAACCTTCCCCACCATATTGTGGGGGGCAGGGCATGAATTGAAGCTTGGTGAAAGAAACCTCATTCCAACCTACACTTAGCCTGAAGGGATCTCTCCCCCCACTGCCGCCGCAGCCGCCTTAAAATTTAACCCCAATAATGGGCGGGCAACAGAACAAGTAACGACGCCTGGTTTTCTGGAAAAAACAGGTTGTATAACTGCATGCAGCTAATCCATGTTCACCGCCCCTCAGTGACAAGGGAAAACTGGCTTGACAAGGGGAGCCCTTCAACGCTATATGGGCTATGCAGCCTGCGAAATGGCCTGCTACAGAGCAATGTCACTTATTCAAGACAAATTTTAACTTTTGTCAAATTGTGTTACAGTTGGGTCTCATTTGAAGGTGGCTCCAGTAGGATATTTCTGCAAGCGTCAGGGTTGTGGGTGTCCCACACATGAGCTTTGCTGGATCAGAACGAGGGTTCCTCCAGAACAGCTTTTCTCAACCTTGTGTCCCAAGATGTGGTTGGATTACAGCTCCCACTGTTCCTAGCCAGCAGGGCCAGTGGTCAGGGATGATGGAAACTGTAGTCCAACAACATCCAGAGACCCAAGGCTAGGGAATGCTGCTCTCTAGAGTGTAGATCCTTGCAGGAAGGCAGCAAGTGAGGCTCAGTAAGGCAACAAATATTTCCAGCTTTGCTGCCACTGAACAAAAGGACTTCCATTTAGCCACCAAGAGTTGAATTGGCCTAAACCTGCCTTCCCCGAGCTGGTGCTCTCCAGATGTTGTGGCCTACAACTCCCATCAGCCCCAGCCAGCATGGCCAATGGTCAGAGAGGGATGGCAACAACAGCTGGAGACTTCCAAGTCGGAGATGGGTGACCTAAGACTTATTTAGAATGTAATGTGTACGTATAAAATACCATAAGTTAAACTGGAGAAAGTTGAATTGCACCAATGACCACCTGCATGGATGACCTCAAATGTAACGTGCATTACACAAAGGATAACAATGACTTTCTGGGGATATGCATTAAAAGTGTCCTTGCTTGTATTCTCTACAGGGTTGTCGTCTTCACCTTGAGTCATGGCCTCTGCTGGATTCCAGATCATGGGCATGGCCCTGACAGTGGTGGGCTGGATCGGAACCATCATAACCTGTGCCCTGCCCATGTGGAAAGTCTCCGCTTTCATTGGCAACAACATTGTCGTGGCGCAGATCACTTGGGAAGGGCTGTGGATGAACTGCGTGGTGCAGAGCACCGGGCAGATGCAGTGCAAGGTCTACGACTCCATGCTGGCCCTTTCTCAGGATGTGCAGACAGCCCGTGCCCTGATGGTCATCTCTGTGCTCCTGGCTGCTCTGGCTCTGATGGTTGCCATCGTGGGGGCCAAGTGCACCAACTGCGTGGAAGACGAGGACACCAAGGCCCGCATAATGATTGTCTCTGGCGCAGTCTTCATAGTGGCAGGGATCCTTTGCCTCATCCCTGTGTGCTGGTCAGCCAACACCATCGTCCGCGAGTTCTACAACCCGATGGTGATCGATGCCCAGAAGAGGGAGCTGGGAGCTGCCCTTTACATCGGCTGGGCATCTTCTGCCTTGTTGATCCTCGGAGGAGCTCTGCTCTGCTGCAATTGTCCCAAGAAGGAGAGCAACAACTACAGCGCCCGGTACACAGCTGCTGCCTCTCAGCCCCACAGTGATTACCCCAGCAAGAACTACGTCTAGGAAGCCCACCTCAGGAAAACAAAGCTGTCATCATTGCTGACCTGAAGCTCACTACTGCTTGGGTCCCCTTTGGAGGAGCAGAGATGCATCCCTACTGGGGCTCTGCACAGAAAATATCCATCCATCCAAAGAACAGAACATCTGATAGTCCCATGACTTTCCAATGTGCTTGTCCCATCAGTATTTTCCCCCACCCGCAAATGTTACCACTACATTATTGTACAGACTTGCCCTATGGAAGTCAGAGCTCTGCTTCTAGAGAACATTTTCTACTCTTAACTGGTTCTCCTCGATGTATGTAGAAGAGATGCTGGACCTTGGGGAAAAAAGAAAAGTCATTTCCAAGTAGTTCTTAATGATCAATGTGGGTTTTGTTCTTAGGTTTCCTGGATGCTCATCAGGGGACTAAAACTACTAATATTGTCCTGGAGGTCACCGTTCAATATGGTCTCCATTTGGGGGCAGAAGTGGGTGGTGGAAACGGGTACTCCAGAAATGAGTTTATAAAGCTGTGATGCGTTGTACAATGTTGTTTGTAAACAAAAGTGATGTGGTCTCTTTTTTTCCTTTTTGCTAACTCACTGCAATTCACCATGCATGCATTTCATATTGAATGCCATTTTATTTCTGTTTTTTATTAGTATGACCTGAATAAAAATACAGGCTTTTATATATAACAGTTGTTATTGGTTATTACTGGTGTGTGAGAGAGAGGGAGAGGGAGTTCCAGGTCATTAAATACAAGTTCTTGGAGCCAGGTGTGCCTTATCTAATGAACCTTCCTGGGAGAGTTAGCAGTACATATTCTGACTTGTGGAACAATCTAACTAAGAGGTGGGGTAGGGAGAGAAGGAAGATAAGTGACCTTCGCATTGCCCCCAAGGAAGGCTGAACATACTTGGTCTCTAGATACCAGAGTATGCATCAAAGCCATAGGAATCCATAGCCAAGGGGCAAGACTCCCCCCTTGGAAGAATTCAGTCTCTGCACCAACATATCCCAAAGGTATTCAGACAACTGACCAAGCAAGAGTTCCCAGCACAGAAACAAGCAGAGAGGAAGTGCAAAGAGAGAGAAGGCTGAGGGAGGTATTTTTTTGCATGAGGTCTTGGAAAGATTGGAAGTTCCTGGTGGGCTTGAAAGTGCTAACTAGAAACTGGGAGCAAATTAAAATGGGGGGGGAGTTAGGTGGTTGGGCAGCAAGGGGAGATTTAGCATTGATACCGCAAGTTTGGGAGGTGGCAGGTAAGCTGCTTGTGAAACATAAACTGTGTGTCCAAAAAAGTTTACACATCACTTGGGAAGACAGGTGAACTAATGCCAGTGTACTAGAAGAAGAAAAGATCACCAGTATCAAAGCAATGATTCATTGGGCTGGTCATGTTGTTCAAATGCCCGATTCTCATCTTCCAAAGCAACTACTCTATTCCAAACTTAAAAATGGAAAGTATAATGCTGGTGGTTAACAAAAGAGATTTAAAGACACTCTTAAGGCAAATCTTTAAAAATGTAGTATAAACACCGACAACTAGGAAACACCTTTACCAAAGGTGTCAGACTTTGAAGATGCTCAAACTCGACAAAAGAGAGAAACCTATGTCTCCACTGTGGAAGGCCTAGTTCATCCAGAATTGGCCTCCACACAGTCACTGACAGACTCACTGTTAAGGCCATGTTCATGGAAGACAATCTTGCTCTGCTAGGAGTGATCCCCAAAGAAGCAGCATGCCTGAATTCCTTCTAATTCCTGGATCCAACAAGTATCCAATTGCTATAATAGCCAAACAAATTTTCTGGTAATGGCCCTGTAAGTATGGGTCCTTAAGGTAACAAAAGAAGTTGCCCCAGAGGGCAAATGTGGGGGGGGGGGCTCCCTCATCTGTCTCTCACTAGAAAAACAAAAGCCAGAGTTGAGGTGTGTGAGAAGTGGGCTGAGCAGCTGAGAGACAGAGCCATGCCTGATTTCTGCTGGGATCCAAGGCTGTGGTTATGGGAGAAGCAATTCCTTATTGGGGTGTTAATGCTGTGAGCCCCTCCATTGCAGTCTCAGGTTGAATATACGTTCCCTCAAACTTCTGGAATCTCTCACTGCTTTTTTATTTTTTGTCAGAAATAGTTTATTTTTCTTCCATAGTGGTAACTTTTCTTCAATGACAATGTTTATTTTTTGGCCATAAAAAATGTTACTTGACAAAACCTTTAAAAAGCAAGCAAACAAAACCGGACAACTAAATTTCTTAGCACAGTTAAACAACAACAACATTCCCCCCAAAATAGTTATTCTCTCATTTCTCCGTCTTCTTCTTCCACACCCCTTATATAATATAAAAGGACATTATTGCACCTTATCAGAACTTCACCAAGGTGTCCATATAATGCACCATCAATATATTCTTCTGTACAGTGGTACCTCGGGTTAAGTACTTAATTTGTTCCGGAGGTCCGCTCTTAACCTGAAACTGTTCTTAACCTGAAGCACCACTTTAGCTAATGGGGCCTCCTGCTGCTGCTGTGCCGCCGGAGCACGATTTCTGTTCTCATCCTGAAGCAAAGTTCTTAACCTGAGGTAATATTTCTGGGTTAGTGGAGTGTGTAACCTGAAGCGTCTGTAACCTGAAGTGTATGTAACCCGAGGTACCACTGTATTTGCAAGCTGCATGTTCATGTAGCCATCGATGGAGACGAGGTAGCCTTTGTATTCCACCCCCCATTTCAGCTTCACCATCACTGGCTTCAGTCAGCCCGTTTAGGAAGAACTTTGGATTGAGAGGCAGACTCATAGCAACCAGACCAACCTAAGGGTGGCTGCGACAACAAAAAAATTACGGGCAGCACATGTGCCCGCCAAATCTCTAAAAAGAAAAAGCACGGAAGTGACGAACACTTCTGCTTCTGCTGGTCTGCTAGTCTCTTATCTCACACTGCTCAGATTGGGGTGATGTACAACAATTTCTATATATTTGTGTGTGCATGCACGCACACGCATGCACGCGTGCACACACACACACACCAAACCTGCAAGAAAGTATGCCAGGATGTACTGCTTTTGAAGGTGCCAGCTATGCTCTCTCCCACGATACTCCATTCCATTTCCTTTCCAAAGTATTCTTGGCATCCCGCCTCATAAGAGCCAGTCAGCATTACACACCCTCTGAGTCCTCCGTCCTCATTGGACTATTTGGATGGGTTGTTCCCTTAAGATTTAATTTCTTAAGGGTTTTGGTTTTGTACTTAATAATAATAATAATTTATTATTTATACCCCGCCCATCTTGCTGGGTTTCCCCAGCCACTCTGGGCGGCTCCCAACCAAATATTAAAATCATGATACAGCATTAAACATTAACAACTTACCATACCTAAACTTCCCTATGGCTCGCTAGCTGTCTGGCACTCATCACCTGAGCTTTAAAGAGAGTCATAAAAGTAACCCCAAATTGGCCTTTGAAGATTGCTACACTGCCATTCAGTTCATTCTATTTTTAGTTTTTTCTAACCTATGTTATTCACCCATCAAGTTAGTTGCACTTTTTCAGTCTTTGGGGTGGACACTCCATTGTCTCTGTGGGTGATGTGCCAATTACTAATATAAATGTTTTGTGGGTGGAGGGTGCTTATTGTTCTCTTGGGTGCTGCTGGAGTACATGGTGCACACGGGGTTAACACAGGCAAGTAAGAATCCCTGAGGAGGAGAATCTAAAATGGAGAATTGAGGAAAACAGTGGAGTAGGAGGTAAGGAACTTCAGGCCTGAGTGTCAAATGCAGGGCTCCAGCCTCCAGGCTGTACCCCTTACCCCTTCAAGTGCTTTTGCGTGGCTGGAATGTGCTCTTGAACTGTGGTCATGCCCCTCGCACGCCTGACTGGAAGATGGGGAGCTAGCAGGTAGATGTACAAACACTGCATTTTTTGGCATTGAGCCTCCTGTACAGGAGGTACGCTTGCTTCTGGTTCCTCCAACTACTGGCATGGATCACTGTGGAGCTGAAATGAGGTTGCCCACCTCTGAGGTAGGAGGAGGAAGGAAAGAGGCAGTGGGTCTGGCTGTGGGTGTTGCATGTCTTTTGAAGCTTAGTTACAATTGGGAATAAGCCTATTAAGGGGATAAGCCAGAGGCAAAATGGAGGTGGGGGGCAGTGGGGTTTGAAGGGAAGAGGAGACAGAACCTAAGAGCTGTGATTGAGAGGGCATTCTACACACAAGGCAGACCCGATTGAAGTATTTTAGGAGTGAAGGAGACCTACATAAATTGGATAAGAGGAGCTGAAGTGTTACATTTGGGCAATAACGGTGAATTCTGGACTTCAGAATTGGGAACAAAGGAAGACCGGGCCGGCTCTGTCATTAGGCAGTGAAGCACCAGCCTCATACACCAACGCTGTAGATTTAAAGCACTCTTATACCACCTTGACAATCATCATGGCTTCCCTCAAACCATCCTGGGAACTGTAGTTTAAGGGTGTTGGGGATGGTAGCTCTGTGACGGGTCTCCTAACAACTCGCAGCACCGTTAACAAACTACAGTTCCCAGGGTTTGTTGGTGGAAGCCCTGGTTGCTAAAGTGGCATAAGAGTGCTGTCAATGTGTGGTGTGAATGTAACAGATTCAGAGGAGGCTGAGGGAGCAATGGTGGTGAGGTATTAAGATGACAGAGAGTGTGATCTACATGGCCTGTCCTGGGCTACAAAACTGGCCTCCTGTCCTGCCCACTGTTATATTCAACTCACAGCCTAGTTGCCTTCTGTACATCAATGGAATGAGGTGGGGATCTTTAACCTTTATCCCAGGCAGCAAAATACCACAGGAAAGAAACTGAAGGGGAAAAAATAATCCATATTCATCACATTTTTCCACCCACGCTTCCTCGAAAGCTCAGGTTCCCTCCCATTTTATCCTCAGAGCAAACCTGTGAGGTAAGTTAGGCTGAGAGATAAGAGATTGGCTCAAAGCCATTTAAGGATGCATTCAGATTTCTGGAATATTGTGTTACTTTTCCCAGTTATAATGCTAGCGGTTCTAACCTGTTTTCTAAATGTTCCTTTCACACCGCAGTCCCTGTTGTTATGGAACTCTGGCTCCTTGACCGATATACCAGCATGTCACACTAAATTTCATTCACACCAGAGGATGCAGAGCAAGACAATGACCGTCACTGGACAAAAATACTACTCTCCCCTCTTTCCGCACCTGCATGCTTAGTTTTTCTGTTCCCTCATGATTCCCCCGTGAAAAAGGCAGAAAAGAACTGCATGCCCCCAAATTCATGGCTTTAGTCCCACAATTTTCTGAGTTAAGGGGGTTGCAGATTCCCTCTTTTTCTGGGATCAAATAACATGGAAATGAGTGCTAAACACATGCTGTAGTTTTTGTTTTCTAGAAGCGGCTTTTACGTCACATGAAAGCTCAAATATAATGCGGAAATTAACAGGGAATCATTGGGAAAACAAGATTTTTAAAAGCCTGCGTGAATACAGTCGCAGTGAACTTCGTGGCCAGGTGAGGAGACAAATCTGGGACTCCCCAACTCCATGATGACCACTACACTGTGCTCGCTTTCAGGGGATAGGATGTTAAGGAACTGATGCTTCTTCCTGGATTTCACAACGTGGGTGCTATGTACAAACTCTGGAGTGTAGAGTTGGGATTTTGCATCTTGTGTGTGGTTGCATTAGGCACCAAATGTTCTGGGGACTATAGCAAAACAGAAGAGGGAATTACAGCACTAAGACTGCAGTCAACATATATTGGGGGTGAGAAAGCAAGCCGGCATGAGGTTAGGGGGTTGTGGCACAGCCTCCTGTCCTCTCCCCAGTCTCTTTCTTCCCAGAGTTCCCCTTGCAGCGGCTTGTCCGCCATTGCCCTCTGTTCCAGACCCCCACCCTGTACGTCCCACTTCATGCCAGTTTTGACGGGAGGAGACTCGCATCTCATGCCAGGGAGATCGGCTTCCTTGTCCCTACGTGTCTGGCTGTGGAAGGCTCGGCCTGGCACTGGAATGTACTGGTACCCCTCCAAGAAGTCAGGCAGGGATCTCGCCTTACAGGGGTCGACTACTGGGCCCACATCCAAGAAAATGGGAGGTGGGTGGTGGTGTGGGGTAGGGGGAGGGTGGATGTCCTGCACTTCTGCTTGTTTGCTGAAGTAGAGGAAAGCCAGCCAGCCTGCCAGGTTGCTCTCACTGCCTGGATAGCTAGCACCTGAGCTCATTCAAAGTGGCGTGTGAGACAGACAGACAGACTCACTCATAGGGAATTTCAAACTGAAATGGGGGATTTCCAAAAGATGTTGGTGGGGCAGATCTGATTCTTTCATGCCTGTCTCTCAAGTTCCCCAGATCTTTCACAAAAATGTTGCTCCCCCACCTTCACAATTGCAATTGGAATGGGGAAGTGAAGTTCTTCATTTTCCCCCGCTCACATAACTTATTTTTTTCTTAGAACAGTCACCTTATGTTTGGCTCAAATTAATGTACCTGCCCCCCCCCCCAATTAGGAAGGAAGGGTGTCTGTAGGTCTTGCACTCCCCCTTCCACAACCTCTCCCTGTGGAATTTGTTCTCCCCTCTACCCACCCCATCTTGCCACTGGCAATAGGCCTCAATTTGTTCTAGGTTTCACCCCAGGTAGGGTCGCCATACCTCCAGATTTTTGTGGAAATCGCACAGCATTTTGGTGTTCGTGGGATTTTTGCAAAATCAGGGAAAATGTCCAGGAAAACCCAGATGTATAGCAAGACGGGTAAAGTAAAAAAATAAAAATCCAGAAAAGCACCAAAACTTTTTTTGGGGGGGGAATGTTCCCCCAAAAAAGCTCAACTTTGTCCAAATTTTCAGTTTGGGGAATACAGTGGTACCTCGCAAGACGAATGCCTCACAAGACAAAAAACGCGCAAGACGAAAGAGTTTTCCGTTTTTTTTAGTCGTTCCGCAAGACGAATTTCCCTATGGGCTTGCTTCGCAAGACGAAACGTCTTGCGAGTTCTTGCGAGTTTGTTTCCTTTTTCTTAAAGCCGCTAAGCCGTTAATAGCCGCTAAGCCGCTAATAGCCGTGCTTCGCAAGACGAAAAAACCGCAAGACGAAGAGACTCGCGGAACGGATTAATTTCGTCTTGCGAGGCACCACTGTATGGTAACCCTAAACCCAGGCAACTCTTTTGAAGAAAGGTTTCAGCCCAAACTGGAAAGCAATGAGAGTTCCTGAACATGTACAAATCCCCCCACATACATATATCTGGGGTTGGGGAAAGATTTTCAGTTTAGCGGTTTTGTTATTCAAGAGGATATGATCTTTTAAACCTCTCCTTAAGAAATTAAGTACCGCTTGTCTACTCAGAGCAAACACCATATGCTGCTCCATGGGCTTCTGGTACGTACTGGATTTAACCCCCTCTCCTCAGGTGATCTGTGGGTTTCACCTGGACCGGGGAGGGCTGTTGTGTGGAGTGAGGTGACTCACATCCTCTTTCTCCCTTTCTCTTCATTTCAAGGAAATGCTTGCCATTCCCTATGGGCTAAATTCAAAGAACAAGTGTCATTGATCGCCATGCCACGAAACTCATTAGGTTTCTAGCCTCTTTTAGACAGTTAGGAAAGGCAGGTGACAGAAACCCTGCCTGTATTTCATGCTGGGGCGGGGCTGAGCGGGAGAGATGGCATCAGCACATAATGTATGGATAGAATAACATTTATTTGCTGTTTTTAATTATATTTATGCATTAAATTAATTATTTATTATTACATTTACTTTGCTCACAAGCTCAAGGTGGCATGTGTGCTTCTCCCTCCCTCTGTTTCATCCCACAACAACCCTGCGAGGTAGGTTAGCCTGAGAGTTAAGCAGCTCAAGGTCACCCAGTGGCTGAGTGGGAATTTGAGTCCTGGTCTCCCAGAGTACCAGCCCATTATAACAGTTTACACAGCCCTTCTGGATCAAGCCAGTGACCCCCCTCTAGTCCAGCATCTTGTTCTCACAGATGCCTGTGGGAAGCCCAAATTGTGTCCTAACTGCTGTGCAAAGGATATTAGTTTCCTGTAGAGCTATATCCAGGTTTAACAAGGCACCAATCAAAATATCCTTGGATAGGCCCTGACAGGCTAATGTGGCATCTGTGACAGGCAGCAGCAGTGCTCTGAGCTATGCCATGTGTCGGGGGGGGCTGCCATTTTGATTTCCCACAGTGTCCCAGACTGTGGCACTACAGTGCAGGGGGTTGTTTTGGGAAATAAAAATGGCAGTTAGACCCAGATGCCAGGGGAAAGCTGAGGGGAAAGAGAGCCCTGGCAGCTGCCCAAAGCCCAGCTGGAAAAGTCACACACCTTGCATTGTAGATCGGTGTGTGCATCTGTATTTTGCATCCAGAACACAGGTGTTCATCTGAGCTGAGGATCAGCCTAGAAAACGTGGTGTGCGATCTCGATCTCTCTCTCTCTCTCTCACACACACACACACACACACACACACCCCACCCATTCTTCAATGTCAGGCCTTCATACTGCAACATGTAAAGCAGTAATAAGAACTGGAGTGCCTCTGAGCATAGGCAAAATGAATTTCTCTCAGAAGTTCCCTTGTATCTGGGAGTAAAGGGGACTGGTTTCAGCTCAGCGGCAGAGCGCATACCTTACATCCAGAAGGTTCCAGCATCTTCTGGTAAATGCGAGTAAGAGCCCCCACTGAAACCCTGACGAGCAGCTGCCTGTCATTGTCAGTACTGAGCTCTTTCTCTGGATTGATGGTCTGACTCGGAATAAACCAGCTTCCTCTGTCCCTTCCCCCCACATATAAACACACCTTGTCAGCCCTTTGGCCCTCCCGTTCATTTACACTCACGTTCTCTTTAATAAAGAAGCCAATCTCTGTCCTGACACACTTTTCTACTCCAGGACAGCCTCGGCTCTTTGGCCTGTGCTCCTTGGGATGCTTAATTTGAGTTTTGTCCCAGAACCATTTTTTTTTTAAAAAAACACCCTCAAATCTCCCCCATCAGGCATTATCTGGGAGGGTTTGTCCCCCCCCCTTTCCTTTTTTACTTTCAAGCGGGCTGAAAAGGTACCCCTGATGCAAAAATGTTTGAAATGCCTTTCACTCACCGCCTGCCAACTCTAACAGATTCGGGAGTAGGGGTGGGGCTTCAGAGTCCAAAGGGGCACAGCTATCAGGCAAGTGTGAGCCCCAGGACCTGCTTGTTTGACGATGTATACCAATGATGCTGTCCAACACTTTAGTCTTCAACTGGTGGGTTGGGACCCACTACTTGCTGGTGTCAGATAGGTTATTAATAGTATCACCACTATAAAATATAGAATTGGAAATATATGTCAGAGTTCCTGTGCCTCCATTTCATAAGAGCCTGAGAAGGCTGGGGGCTTTGCTAAGGAACCACCTTGAATGGCAGGGCATGAGTAAATGAAGCGGTGAAGAAGGGTCCTCCTGAGCTTATACAGAGTGCCTTTCCTCAGAAATAGTCCCCAAACAGGGAAACTTAGAGCTTCTATGTCAGACTGAGTGATGTGTTATATGCACAAACTCCTGGCACACTCCACCTATTACAAATGAAGCACTTTTCAATATATTTTCAATATATTCACTACCATCCTCCCCACATTTGTTTCTGTGTCCCCCCTCCCCTCCCTTTGTAATTAAGCTTTGCTCTCACTTTCCAAAAGGTCTGCAGTCGCCTTTCCTCACCCCAAAAATAAGACCAGAGACAGATAGGTTACAAACATGTATCTTTTTTATCTGAATAATACAGTTTTCAGTAACACCACACAGACCTCTGGGAGGGAGTGATCACAAAAGGGAGTCCCATTTGACCCCTTCTTGCTCAAGGGAAAAGAGTTACCTCAGGAAGTCCCCCCACCCCACCCTTTCCTTAGGAAACTTCTGAAGGGAAAAAGGGGGGCAGGGCTGAGAATCCTGTTTCCCACCCCCATTCCAATAACAGAGGGGGGTGAAGCCAGAACACCTGGGTTCTCTTCCCAACTCTTTGAGCGGAGGGGAGCCTAATGCATTTGGGTGTGTGAGAGAGACATAGATTTCCTCCTTGCGCTGTCTGAGGCAGGCTGTGGTAGGGAGCAACAGGGGCAAAATATCCTCATCTGTTTGTCCAGGCCTCTAGGAGTAGCCAAAGCCTTGACAAATTATTAACCAGCAAGCAAATAGCACCAGTCCAAGGCAAAAGAGGGTCAGGGTCTCCTGCCACATCCTGCCTAGCCCCCCTGCACTCACCGAACCAAGGCTCTTGTTCATCACTTCCCATTTTATTCTGCCATTCTCACACAAGCCTTGTGAGGAAGTCGTGCCTTGCCTCCATTCTCCACATCCCTTGTGGTCTCTTTGTTCTTGATATGCCAGGTTTGGGTAGGCTTGCTTACCCTGCCCATTTCTCCTTTGATTAGTTTCATTTCCACCCTCAAACCTCACCCCGTTAATTCCCTCTTTTGTTTTAGCCATGTCAGCATCCATTCGCCATTTCCAATATTAAAAACCACTTGTTCTCTCACTCTCCGTTTCCCCCTCACTTTTTGTTCTTGACAAAACTTTTTCGCCTGAGCTGGTTCTTGCAGCAGAGCTGCTTTATAACAAGACAGACAGTCCTCCTCAGTGTTTCCTCTTTCTCTCATATTTAATTTCCCTGCCTCTTCTCATGTTTCTGCCTGCGTTTTGTTTGTTCACAAGTGCCTCTCCGTTCTTATCTGCCCCTATGCCTCCGTTCCCAAACAATCATTTGCTGGCTTAGCCATTAACTTGGCCCGTATTATCCTTGTCCCATCTCCCTGCTCTCATTTGCTCAGTCTCCTCAGGTACAGTTTCTGCATTCCAGTTGTGTTTGCTGCCCCACTCATCTCTTTCCTAATTGTTTGTTCATTCTTTCACATATCCGTTTATTTGTTCATGTTTGCCCCTAATCTCCCACCCGCTCATGGTCTCACACATACACCTGTGCATGTGCATGCAACTGAGAATTGCCAGATATCACGGCTCAACCCATACCGATTGGCTTTGTCCCATTTTCCCCGCTGAAAAAGTCCTTGGGCCAGTAACTCCTGTCAGGGTTTGGGCCTAGCAACATCTGGCAAGTCTACCCTCCCCCCAACCACAGCTCTTCATACATAGTCCCTCTTGTCAATCCCACTGCCTGGAGGCGCAGTGGATCTTGCCGGGACAGAGTACCCAATGCGGGCTGGGTAGCGGTCTTCCCGCGGCGGGCAGGAGCAACATAGAAGAGACCCTCCGAGCAGCAGCAGTGCGGAAGCTGCCCAGCCAACATAGAGGGCAGCCCCCAGCTCCCTTTTCAAGGCCTCGACCACCATTGGGTTGTAGAAGTCGCGGATTATAGAGTTGGCTGACCAGCACACCGGGATGAGGGTCAGGAGACCCGAGATGATGAAGAGTGCCCCCGAGGTGATGACGATGCGTGCCTTGGCCCCCTCGTCCTCCACGCAGTTGGTGCACTTGGCTCCCACGACGCCCACCAGCAGTGCCAGGATGGCCAGCAGCACAGAGACGACCATGAGGGCCCGGGCGGCTTGGACATCCTGCGAGAGGGCCAGCATGGAGTCGTAGATCTTGCACTGCATCTGCCCGGTGCTTTGCACGATGCAGTTCATCCACAGCCCCTCCCAGATGATCTGCGCCACGACAATGTTGTTCCCGATAAACGCGGTGACCCTCCACATGGGCAAGGCGCAAGCGATGATGGCCCCTATCCAACCAACAATGCACAGGCCCATGGCCAAGATCTCCAGCCCTGCGGAGGACATTGTGAGCGGAGACTCGCTTTCTTAGCCTGCTGCAAGACACGTACTCCTTCTTCCGCCACCCTCTGGGAGGGTCGGGGAACGCACGTTTTACCGGGCGGCAGTGTCTGAAGGCAGGCTGTCTTTTACAGGGATCAATGTGGGTGAGAATTCAAAGACACACGATCTTCAGAGTGAAGGATGCTGCAATGGGAGATAACGTATTTCCCCAAAGAGCAGCTTCAGACAGTAAGTCCTGGAAGGATATTCCAGTGACTTGTGGGCCCAGGAGGAGGGTTTCTGATGGGGCTCCTCTGCAAAACCGAGTCTCTTTATCGGACCGGTTGACGACACGGCTACAAAAGAGGCCTTCTTGTGTTACCTGCGACTGGGGATGCCAGCCTGGAAGATGGCAGTCAACAGCATCCAAGAGATGGTCTGTGATGTGGAGTCGTCCAGGGATACCTGTCCGTGGGGCGTCACTTTTATGAGCTTGGCCGGACCAAAGGCAGACAGGTACGGTGGAACCAGCAAAGGAAAGAGGCCCAGGAAGAAGCTGCTAGCGATGGTGGGAGCTGGACAGATCCTCCGTCTTCTCTTCCCCTCCCTGGTTTCGGCAGGCTGCTTGTTATTGAATTTGCTCTCCTTCACAGGTACCTGCTGTTGTCTAGAAGGATCCCGTGGGAGCCCGTGCTTAGGGACAGGGAGGGGCGGGTTATATGAACCCCCAACAGGTGGGTGGGAGGAGCAGGCAGCCCAAGCCGAGAAGGGCATTGGGGGTTCCATGGTAACGACAGAATGGGTGGTGGTGTCGAGGAGAGAGTTTGAATATTTCTTTATTTTCTGTTGGCGAGTTGGGAAGCTGCCCGTTCTAGAGGGGAAAGGGTGGGAGGGGAGGAGAAGGCTGAGAAAAACAAGCAGAGGTGGAGAGAAGGAGGGAGGTGGGGGGAAAGAGAAAGAGCGAGTGATCAAGCGAGAAAGGGAGTTTCTGTGGTTGAATTCAAGAGGCACAGAGAAGTGGAACCTATCAGATATTCCCTGTGCCAGCCAACTTCACTCTGCAGCATCATGAAAGAATATGAATATGCAATATATTTAATAATAATGATTAATAATAATGATGACGACGACGATGATGATGGAAAGGGTGCCTAGTTAGAGGCACCCACACATCCCATATCATACCCATTGCACAAATGCAGCTCCCTCCAGGGTGGTGGGGGTCAGTGGTGGGGGAAACGTGTTGCCCACCAAATGTTTTTGGATTCCAGCTCCCATGATCCCCAGGCAAAACGGCCAGTCTTCAAGGGCAATGGGTATTGTAACCTGGGGAGCCAAAGGTTTCCCATCTGAGGTGTGGGTGAATAGCAAGGGTATAACTTTGCAATTGAGACCCTGTGAACTTGAGTGGAGAGAGCCAAGTTCAAATCCTAATAATAATAATAATAATAATAATAATAATAATAATTTATTCTTTCTACCCTGCCCATCTGGCTGGGTTTCCCCAGCCATTCTGGGCGGTTTTCAACAGAACATTAAAAACAGAATAAAACTTCAAACATTAAAAACTTCCCTAAACAGGGCTCAAGTTGTGATGTTCAAGGGACGAAACAGGGCAAGTCACTCAGTATCAGCCTAACTTCATGTGAAAATGGGGAGCACAGCCACGTAGGCCTCTCTACGCTCTCTGGAGGGAGGGTGGGATACAGATGCCAGAAATAATCAGCATTTGTGCGTAGCCTCCTTTCACTTGTTGCCATAACAAAGCTGTTTCAAACCCAATCCTAAGCAAGTTTGCTCCAGTAAAACCCGTGGGGTGGGACTCAGGCTGGGTTGACTCCTCTGTTTACTCCGCATCCAGTGTGCTCCCACCACTGTTTTGGAAAGCGGTGTGCAGTACACACGATGATAACCATAATCCACACCCCTCCTGTCATTTTGTATGATGCACTGCTTTGATCTGAATTAATAAAAAGAATGACCTAGGACTCAGCTTTACAACTGCAAATAAAATGTTTTTAAATGTGTTGTAAAGAGCAATGTACAAATGTGACACTAGATGGTGACAGTGAGCTATGCCGAATTCAGTGTATTTTTCAAAACTTTTTTTTTAAAAAGCATTTTCACAGCGTTTTTAATATGTGTGTAGATTCCACCTTAGTTGCGCTTTGAGCTGGTGATGTATGCAGGGCCTTACGCAGCTAAGTGACTTTGGGCCTACAACATTTATTGCATGGAAAGGTAGCCCGACAATAATGCAAAACGCAACAATGCATGTTAACTCTAGAAAATAACAGCAATCCAGTTAGCAGTCCACAACACTGGCATCAAAATAATTTTGGTGGCCTTTTGAAGCTATGATAGGAAAACAATTTTATGCCTGGTTTTTATTTCTGATTAGACCAATAAGATCTCCTTAAAATAATCCTGAGAGGTAAATAGCAGTGAGACAAATATAGTAATACAGAGCACTTCAAAGCATTCATATTCAGGTAGGAGAGGAAGTATCCACATGTATGCTAAAATCCCTACAAAAATCATGTTTTCATTTTCATTTTAATTAAAAACATTGAAGGAAGTCATATGCAGTAAAACAAGCAAAAATACCATTTGTATCTAAACAAAAGTGAAATCAAAATAAACAGCTGTGTTGTTGTTGTTTTAAAAAAACAACATTTTAAAATTAAAAGTCAGTACCACTCCAAGGTCCAAAAGCAATGGAAAACTAGGGTGGCTGGAGTAACCCATTCAGATGGACGGCATATAAATAATAAATTATCTTTAGTAGACTACTAATGATACTAATACATAGTATCTACTACTAATAGTAGTAAACATCCACAGCACGCTTGGTTCAAGGCAAGAAACTAACAGGATTAGGCAGTCTAAAGGGGTTCTTTTGTCTCCAGGTCAAAAACAAGTCATGTTATCAAAGCCTGATAAAGAGCAGCTTAAGCACACATAACTCTGAAGGAAATTGATAATGTGGCAACCGCAGTTGATAAGAAGGAATTTTTTAAAAACAGTAACCATGGACAATTTATTTTGCCCAGTGCATTTTCAAACAGTTTGTAACCTTAGCATAGCGGTTTCCCTCCAAACGAGAGATTACTCTTTTCTGTAACAGGCAAAGGAATCTGTGGCTTCCACATGCAGCTGGGCTACAACCCCTATGATCCCTGACCATCATCGATGCTGGCTGGGAACACCCGAAAGATCGTATCCTCTCTTAACTACTGAATCACTGTGCTCTGCAAGTGCCATCTTATCAGGAGGACATTTCTACACAATATAGGAACTGGGCCTTTAGTGTGGTGGCATCTGCCCTTTGGAATTCCCTCCCCTTGAATATTAAGGCAGGTATTGTCTCTGTTGTCTTTTTTGTGCCTATTGAAGACCATCTTCCAACAAGGCTTTTAAGTTGAGATCTTTCTTGCTCTGCATCTGTGTTGGCATTTTTAATGCTTTATCTCTTGCTGTTTGCTGCCCTGGGCTCCTTTGGGAGGAATGGTGGGATATGAATTTAATATGTAAGTAAGTTGAACAATGGGATGTGGGTGGCGCTGTGGTCTAAACCACAGAGCCTAGGGCTTGCTGATCAGAAGGTCAGCGGTTCAAATCCCCGCGACGGGGTGAGCTCCCGTTGCTCAGTCCCTGCTCCTGCCAACCTAGCAGTTCGAAAGCACGTCAAAGTGCAAGTAGATAAATAGGTACCGCTCTGGCGGGAAGGTAAACGGCGTTTCTGTGCGCTGCTCTGGTTTCGCCAGAAGCGGCTTAGTCATGCTGGCTACATGACCCGGAAAAACTGTCTGCGGACAAACACCGGCTCCCTCGGCCAGTAAAGCAAGATGAGCACCGCAACCCCAGAGTCGTCCGCGACTGGGCTTAACGGTCAGGGGTCCCTTTACCTTTAAGTTGAACAATAAACCGACACCTGGAGGGCCACACAGCTTCTCCACCACTAATCTGGAACAACATAGCAGAGCCCCCTGGAGCTCCCTGCTTCCAATCTATAGTAGGTGCTAGAGCAGGCTCAAACTGACAGGCCATCACAGAATTCAGGAGTCACCAGGCTACTCTGAGAATCTCCTCAAAGGAAAAGGAGAAGATAAACATGCCCACATTTTACAGATAAAAAGTGGGGCAGATGGTTGGTAGATTGTCTGCTCTGAATGGGGTTACACTCCCTCTGAAGGAGCGGGTACATAGCTTGGGGGTACACCTGAATCCTTTGCTGTTGTTTGAGGCTCAGGTGGTCTCAGTGGCCTGGAGTGCCTTCCATCCCCTTTGGCAGGTGGCCCAGGTTACACCCCCATCTGGACAGGACAGGGAGGGTAAATGACTTTGCATGAAGCAAAAATAAAAATACAGATAATCAATATTCCAACTGGATAATAAAAAATAATAATTAAATAGCTGCAAAGGCCTGTCAGCATAAAAAAATATTCAGGAAGCAAGGGCGTAGCCAAGCGGGGGAGTGAGGGGCAGCTCCCCCCCCCATCAATAAAAATACAGTACATAGCTAACTGAGATTCTGCCCCTCCTCAACAAAAGTCCTGCCCCTCCCCCCCAACAAAAATCCTGGCTACACCCATGTCAGGAGACACCTGAAAGTCAAAAGTGAGGATGCCTCCCAAATCTCTGCTAAAAGAAATTCCACAGCATGGGAGTAGCAATGCTAAATGTCCTGTGTTTTTATTACACTGTGTGTGTTCGTTAATTGCGTTACCAATGCCAGAACGTCTGTGTTATCAACAACAATTGATTTACTTTTCTTTTTTGAATGGTCACTGCTAATAACATAATTACCACTGTCTGTACTTTCTGCACTTCATTTCCTTCTGATCTCACTGTTTGCAACTCAGGATAACACTTCGAGCATCAGATAAAGTGGGCTGTAGTCCACAAAACCGTAACACACACACACACACACACACACACACACACGTAATCTAAAGGTGCCACAAGATTCTTGCGTGGTTTCTGCTGCAACTTGACTACACACTCTGACAAACTAGGGTGAATGCTTACCTCCCAGGTCTGAGCACAGGCTTCGAAAACATGCAGAAAACCCTTGCCTCACACTCCGCGTAGTAGATACACCCTCTGACCTGGAAGATAATAGAACTGCAGAGTTGGAAGGGACCCTAAGGATCATCAAATCCAACCTCCAGCAACGCATGAATCCTGCACACAGCCGTCCCTGGGTGGGCTCAAACCACCAACCGTCTGGTTAACTGACCTATTGTGCCACAATGTGTGATATATATGGCAGCAGGAAATACCTACTCAGTAACAAAAGGAACTCTGTATATGTGCTGAGATACTCTCTATTCCTAGTCTACATGTCCAGAGCTGAATGTGTTGGGTTTTTTGTAATTGAAATAGTTACAGCCTTTTCCTTAGGTAAAAAAGAAGAAGTCCAATTAGTATTGATAATAAAAATGTATGGATGCATGTAATTTATTTATTTAATGCAGTGGGTTAAGGCAGAGTTTTTCAACTGTTTCGAGTCTACGGCTCCCTTGACCAACTACATTCTTCAGGAGCCCAGTTATGTCACCCCTTGCCTGCAGAGCTGTCAGCCTCTCACCCTTTTTCGAACACCCTCCCTTGTGGAGGGTTCCCTCAGCCTCCCCTCCTCTCCCGTCTTCCTGGGAGTCCTCCGGGCAGCCGCTGCCACAGCCCCTGGTCT